AGCACCTCAGGACTCAAGTGCTAGCAGTCTAATTATTTTCATTTCTCCAGGGTCAACTGACATCAGCCTCTTCTTCAGAGAACCTGCAGCAGACAAATGTAAATCACCAAATCTACGGAACCTCACGCCAGAACGAATCAGCAACTGCAGGATCCCAAGCATCCTTTTCTCAGTTACGCTCTGGTTCTGTTCCTGTAGGTGTTTATGCATTGCAGAGGGAGAATGTATTTCCGGAAAGACCTGGCCAGCCCGAGTGCCAATTTTACATGAAGACCGGAGATTGTAAGTTTGGTGCAGTTTGTAGGTTTCATCACCCAAGAGAGAGAGTTCTTCCTGCCCCTGATTGTGTGTTGAGTCCTATAGGCCTTCCATTACGCCCGGTGAGTCATGTTTTCAGTGGTATTCTTTCAGTTTATTTCTGAATCTTTATCTGTTCAAATTATTATGGCTGTTTATTAGAAACCTAGTATTCATGCTACCTAAAAATGTCATTCCCTCATCTATAATCTTACATACCTTTTCTTTTAAAAACTTGGTTTCCTGATTGATTCTTTTATATTAAAAATGGATGTTGCTTTGGTACACCTGCTGGCAATTGGTCATTGTGCGACTGCAATGCATACTTTAAATTATATTAGAAGGAACTGGCATAAAAAGCATTTTCTTTTTTGCTCGGCAAAATGGAGAAAACTAGCTTTATCAGAGGATACTCTTACAGCTTGTCATGAACTTCATTGCTGACCGAACAGAAAAACATTTAGAATACAAAATCCATATTTATTTTATAAAACACATTTAGAATATTAAAATAGTATAGATTAAACTACTTAAATATATAGTACTGCTATAGTTCTTTATTCTTTTTATAAAATACAAAATCCAGATTTATTTTTCTGAACTGTTTGACAAGATAAAGTCATGAAACCGAAATTTAGTTTCTTAATTGGAACTTTCATTAGTTTTGAAATTTAAATTTTGTATGTTTCTTTTGTCTATTTTATGGTATCTACATATCCATGTCCAGCTTTTAGACTCTTCATAGCCTACTCAACTAATCTGAAATTTTGGAGGAAGGAGTCAACCTTGGATCAAATTTAAAACCAGAACCCATACGGAAGTCCATGTAACATAGGTTACAATGTTATCATCCAAATTAACTTCCTAATTTCATTCTAAATTCCCGGGCCTTTGTTTTGTTATGGTAGAGACTAGAGAGCCTTACCATGGCATCTTGTTTTGAAGCTTTAACGCTGTTCAGATTTATCTTCAGTTGTAGAATGTTATTATTTTGAATTTTCTTATTTTCGTTTTTACTAAAAAGCTTAGAATGTTTTGTTTATCCATTATCCATTTCGCACATATTCCTTCTGGTTTGAGGGTGGCTCTTCTTCTCGTCATTTTATCTTCCATGCAATAGTACCATTTATTTTATGGTGCTTGTGGTTTGTTTGCAAGAAGTGGACTATCTTCGAATATGCACTGTTGCTAGTTTTATTCTTTTGTTGCTTGATACTTTTTACAATATTGATACTGCTACTTCTGCATTCTAACAGGGTGAACCTCTATGCATATTTTATTCTCGATATGGAATTTGCAAGTTTGGTCCAAGTTGCAAGTTTAACCATCCTATGGGAATTTTCACATACAATTATTCAGCAGCATCTCCATCTGATGCCCCTGTTCGCAATTTCCCTGGGTCATCATCAGGATCTACTGGGTTAAACCTGTCATCAGAGGGGCTTGCTGAAGCAGTTTCTACAAAGACCAGACGACTCTCACTGTCCGAAAATAGACAGCTGTCTCCCAGTGATGATAATATTGACACAGAGGGATAAAAGCTGCAACAAGATATGGGCTGATTACATTTGACAATAGTTTTGGTGGATGAGGAAGAGTAATCTGTAAATTCATTTCCCATTGTTGGAGATGTACAACGTTCCTTCCAAGTTGATTTTGTTCTCTGAAAAATATGGAATTCAGCCAACAGTAGCATCTTCTGAATTTCATAATGCTGCATTGTATAAATCTGAAAATTGTCACATTTGGTAAAACCTTATGTGAACAATTCATCTGTCCCGAAGCTTGTTTTCCTTTCTGATTTTTGTGTTGTTTTATTTCACTTTATGTTGTACGAGGCTTTTTCTTTTTCCCCTTTTGTGCAGTTTTAAGCCTCTGCCTAGTTTTCTGCTGAATCTTTATGGCTTAAGATTCCTTTTTTTTTCTTCTTCTTGGACCTCAAATATGCAGGCCTTTCTAATAACAGCCTTGTTTCTTGAGGTAATAATTACTATCTGCCCTTATATTGATGGATCTTGTCAGTGTCTTTCTTAAGTTTTTCTTGCATTGAGGCTTTTTTCTTCTTGGTTGTATGTTAGAAATTGTGGTGCAGAAGCATAAATGAGTGCAAAAAGAAGTGGAAAAGCACTTTCCTATATCGTTGACACATCATTTCTTCGAAGTCTTCAGAGCTCCTGGAGATCTCACTTCATAAATTGCTAGCAGATGATGAACTTGTAAGTTACTCCCACAGAATCTCACATACTCTTTGTCCTTGCAGGAGGCTTTTTAAGATGTTTGCGAGTCTTTAGAATATTGCCAATAAAAGATTCAAGTTTCCTTGTACATATCCTTGCCAAAATCGTATCAGGTACAGTTTCAATCATGGGAAGCTGTGTTTCTGTTTCTTTTCCTTTACCCACTTTAATGGAAAAAAAGTTATGCAACATGTTGCGAATTTCACTAGTTTAAGATACAAGAAGGGTTTGCCTTTGTTTTTCTGGCCATCCACTTTGGCATAATACAAATTTTTGATGTGCCCTCATGATCCCTTGTTTCTATCTGTGTTGGAATTCATGATAGACTTGATTCAATGTGATTATATCTGTTGAATCTCTCTGGAAAGTGGGTTGCTTTGCTCTGAACTGTGACACTGTTGTTGCATAGAGATCGTGAAAAGCCGGGGGGGGGGAGGGGGTGTTGGGGAGAAACTGAATAGAGAAAAAACTCCGGATTTGGGACCTTGCATTTTCGTGCATGTATCTGTTGATGAACATGATGCTGAATAAGTTGATCAATGGTTTTATGTTGTCGTTGCTCGCTTTATCTTTCCTTGCAACTCGGGTTTCGTAGTTTTGTGCTTGAAAATAGTGTTATTGTCAATGGATTTTGGGGGCTGTTACTTTCGCATATAGTGCTCGATCTCTTAAGAATAGAAGCTAAAGTACAGCAAAAAAGGACTAGTCTTTTAAGTATCCAACCGATCCCTTTTACATTAGTGATGATCTTTTAAAGCAACAAAAGGTACAAGAAATTTAACATTTGAATTGTTTAAGCAATGGAAAATAACAACTTTTCCGAAATCATTTTTCGAAAATAATTTTTTTCATGAAACTAAAAACCCTGAATGTTCTAGGTGATTGTATAAGGTATATGGTAGTGAGTTGTGAGCAGACTGCGTGTCTGGGGATAGCAATTTGGAAGTGAGTGACTCGGCAAGTGTAATAGCTAATGCTTTGTTGGAAACCGTTGTTTCAATATTAACGCATATATATGTAAAGATCATTCGAAAGCGTTCAGCAAACAATAAATCACATTATCAAATGAGGTAAAAGATTCGACTATATTCTAAGGAAGGCTTACGCGATGAAGGCTATATCATTATTAATGTAAAAGAGCGTTGGGATAATTATAAATGTCGTCAAAGTTTAGATAATATGTCGTTCATATCATTAATTTTTTTAATTATAATATAAAATTCTGATTTTAGATTCAATGTAAACATTTAATCGTTAAGTCTTTAATAATTGAGATGTGTCAAATTGATGTTCACATATATTATAGTAGAACTTTAATTTGTATATAAATTTTAAAACATTCCCATTTTGAGCAAGAACATTTGATCAGATAGTTAAACTAGTCATTTTTGTTCCCTCATATTCTCCTAAATCATGAGTTCTACACCCGTTAGAATTATTCTACTTCTTTCCCATAGAGTTTCCTCTTCTCCTTCCCTCTATGTAGGATTATGATTAGATTTAAAATTTATAAAAAAAAATCTAAATTTTAGGCATTGAATTTTGATTTTAGATTTAATGTATACATTGAATCGTTAAACTATTAACAATCAAATGATATGTCAAATTGATGTTGACATATGTTGGATGGAGAATTTTAGTTTGTGTATATATGTTGCCACTAAACTTTAAAATACTTCAATTTTAAGACGAATAATGTATCAATTTAGTCAATATCGATCAATTATCTTTGTTATCTATCATTGTCTCTCATCATTAATTGTCACTTACAACAAGATTGATAGTAAAACGTTTGTATTTCACTTCTCTCTCTTTTCTTCGAATTGATTTTTCACGAAACTCACTTAAAATCGACAAAAAATCCATCTAAAGTTTGACATGTTAGTGCTCTAGTTTGGGATTTTCTCAAATTTTAGATGGATTTTCATCAATTTGAAGTTTCATGAAAAATAATACGGTAATAAGAAATGTGAGTGATACAAATACTTTGATACTGATCTTACTGTGAATGACTGCTAATGATAGGCAACGATTAACTAACATCGATAATTATTTGACCAACATGGCTAAATTAATACGCAAATTAAAATTTAGTGATAAAATCAATATTTAAACTAAAATTCTAAAGAAAGAATATCACATTGTTAATGATTTAACGGGCCAATATTTATATTGAATGTTAAACTAGAGTTTAATGCTAGAATTGAAATAATTGGAATTTCAATGATAAATCAATAAAAAAAAACTTAAAATTTAGTCACATTTGATGTAGTTTAACCACGAATTTGACATCTTCGAATCATTATAAGTCGGATATATTACGATCAATACAAAGTACAAACTGACGCCAAATCCAAACCTATGAAACAATTATTATTGTTTTGCTTCCAGGTAAGTCCCATGTAAGACATCATATATAACACCACCAATAACAAAAGTACTGCAAAAGAAAACAAAAATCTTCAAACCCACTGCTACAAACATGAAATTTGGTCATGGGGTCACTCCTCTTCTCCTGTTTCTCTTCTTTTCAGCTCATGTCTTCAATTACAATGAAGCTACAAGCACGACACAAGTAAGTTATCAGAAAACCCTTGCTTCGAATGCAATAGATCCCATTGCTTTCGTTCCTTTATTTTGGGGATTTAGAGTTGGGTTTCTTGATTGAAGGTAAAAGACTCTTCAGAAATGGTTCCGTTGGTGAATCAGAAGACGGTGATGAAGATGACGATGTTTAGCAGGAGAAAGCTGGGGAGTTTCCAGATATGCGCTGTTTGTACATGCTGTGGTGGAGCTCAAGGTGCTTGCTCACCATCTCAGTGTTGCTATGCAATCGATTGCGACATTCCACACACACCCTTTGGTTTCTGTTCTTTCATTCCCAAAACCTGTAATTGCTTTGGATGCCATCTCTGAAACCTTCATTTTATCTATATATTTTCTTACGTTTAAGAAAAATAATATATATATATATATATATATCTATATATATATTATATATATGTTGATTTCTGATTCAAGTTTGAAAGTGGAGATATATCACCGTTAATTTTTTAACAGGTAGCGACCAAAATGAAATCAAAACATGACGTTAGTTATGATTTTAAAACAAAAAATAGTTGGGTGATCAAATTGGAACAAAACAAGTCACTTTATTATTAAATGAATCAATTCAGTTCTCCTATTTTAAAGATTGATTTAAATTAATTCATATATTATTAAATAGATCGATTCAGTCTTCATACTAGTAAGTAGAACCAAACAATGCTAAATCTTTTTATAGATTTGATATTTGCAGTTTAAAAAAACAACATTAAAATTATTATTATTATTATTATTACATTCACAATAGTTTAAGTCCAAACAAAAGATTATATTTATAAAACCATAAAAATAATAAAATTATTAATTTTCATTCATAAGACCTTTTTATTAGAGAGAAGCAAATAATATGTCTAGAACACCATCCAAATCTTCATTTGTAGAATCATAAAAGTAATAAAAATCTAAATTATGTTATATAGCAATTGATGATTTTTTAATAATAAACTTTAAATCTATTAAAATATAATTTTATTTGATTTCTTTTATTAGTTAGATTGTTTATAATGATTTGTACAATAAATATATTAATTTGAACCAATCCTTATAATATAACAGACATTATAAGTGAACCTTTGAAGTGATTAAAAGAAATTTTGTTCTCCTTTGTAATCCGAGTTCGAACATTGTGGTCTGTACATATACAAAAATCTAGATCTATATCTTTTAAAATACATGACATATTTTTAAAAATATTAGTGTAGATATACACCAAATCATAAATAATATAATATAACAAATCGTCATGAAAAAAGGGAATAGATATTTTGTGATCGGGTCCAAGAGTTAATTGGTGCATGATTAGAGAGTTTGGAGATGATGAAACAAACCTTGTGATACTTTTAGAATGAGTTGGCAAATGTAGCATCACTTCATGATAAAAGTATTCCTATTTTCCATGCACAACTATACCCTCTGAAATGAGAGAACACATCAGCTTTATTTCTAATTTCATTGCTTTATCCCAAATCCTACATTTGCTCTTCTTTTAGCAAATCATACGTTCTTTTTTATACAATTTAACTTTTTAAAATACATTTACTCAAAAAAAAAACTTTTTAAAAATATTATAAGAAATATTCCAACAATTAAGAAATCAAAATCAAATTATATAAATGTTATAAATACTTATAAAATAAAAAAACCTATTTGAAGTATATAAAAAATTATAAATTAAAAGGAAAATATTTGAAGTAGATAATGGGGTGATTTATTATTATTATTATTATTGTTTTGATTAGGCGATTATGAATTCTTGACTTTCATGCTCCCACGACATCCTTTTATTACCACACTTTTCCTCAAGACAATTGGACACACACTCTCTCATCTCAATCATAATATGCTAAATCAAATGAAATTTTAAGCCTTTAAAAAAATATGTTCTTTTCAATACATTCTTTTCACTTCAGTACCTAAAGTTATTATTAAATCCTATTTTGAAGGTACCAAAGTAAATATATATACAGTTCAAGGGCCAAATTACGAATTAAGCAAAATGAAATTGAACATGTTCGATAATAATGTGTGGGATGTATAAGGAGGCTAACATGATGCTTATTCCAGCCAACATAAATAGAGTACCAAGGAACCATACACAAAGGTAAAAAAAGGCGCGGAAAGAGGAAACTCAGCTTTGAATTCCCGAGGCAAGCTCTGGGATGGACCGAGTTGAGGGAATCAGTGCAGCAGGTTGTTTGGTCACTGCGACCAAAATGTCGGAATAACCGACCACCCCGACTAAAACATCGTCATTATCATCTTCAGTCACCCACACATGGGTAGCCCTATGAGACAGCATTTGAGCCATGACTGCGGCTAAAGAACTCGAAGTTTTACATGTCAAGGGTGCACTTCTGCCCCTGTACATGCTCCTGCCAACACCGAAACTCTGGCTCACAGGATTAAACCCAATGCTTCTACTACTGAATCTCCTTAGCCTTCCTGACCCACCACCATTTTCTGTTTCGTTATCTTGAACTGGCGACTTAACAGAAAAATCGGGACACAATCTTGAACCCGTATTATCCTCAACTCCCATGACAAATTGTCCGGCTGAGAGGTTAGCTAAAGCCCAAGCAGCAGCTAAGTAGTCACATTTCCATAGTTTAGAGGCCGAGATTTCTCCTAGAATCTGACGCTTACCATCTAGTGTGATCTCCACAACGGCAACTGCACTGGGATCACCGGGATGTTTTTGAGTTGCCTCTAAAGCTGGGAGCGAGGCTTCAATGGAGCTATAGTCTACGTTAATTGCTCCGAGCGAGTAAATGAAGGAGAGGGGAAGAGGAGCTAGAGCACCAAGGCAACCAATGAGGAAACGAATGATGTCTTCTCTCGAGAGACAGCAAAACTTGTCACGCATGTAGGTGGAAGTGGATGAAGAGGAAGGGCGGCATTAGCAATGAGGTTGCTGCTAGCATTCTCATTGTTCTTGAGCCACCTCCCATTATAAAGAATCGAGAATCGCTTGCTCATGCCTTTCCATACCTTGCTCTTTGGAACAAGAAGCCGCCTAACACCCTGCTTCATCATCTCGAGTGCGTCTATCAATCTAGTCCAACCCAACCCAACCCACTGATAATATAGGGTAAAAACCCCTAAATAATATAGGGTAAAAACCACGAGCAACGGTAGAAGAATTTCACTATGAGAAAATAGGAATTATAACCTCTCTCGATCTACCAAGGAGAAAACAATGATAATTCTCTCTTGATAAAAAAGAGAAAACAACTCTCAAGAAACTCTCTAAATTCTCTCTAGTATTAGAAGAAAGCTATAATGCTTTGGGATGTTTTTAAGCTAAATGAGATAGGTTATTTATAGCTAAATCTTAAGGACTTAATCTTGTAAATACCCTAAAATTTAGTGACTAGAGTTTGTAATTTGACCATATAAAAAATAATAAAAAATTATGCACCTAATTTTCGGTGCCAACCCATTTATTATTTTTGACTTTCTACACATTTTATAAACAAAGATCTTATTTTCCCTCCTTAATTCAACTTCGAAATGAAAGAAAAATCAGGGCTTTTTTCTTGAAACCGGGAAAAACCGGCGAGAATGAAGAGTTATAAGAGAGAATGGAGAAAAATAAGGTGGAGGTGAATGCCGGTGATGGGTAATCTATGTAGAATCAGAAGAGAGCATAGATATGGAGCCATGCAAAAAAGCACAGTTTTGGAAACAAAATCCCATTAAGGATGATCTCTCCGTTCAAGTACTGACTGGATTGGTTTTGACAACAAGCCTGGATTTTGGGGAGGAAATATATATTGTTTTTGTTGTTGCCTTCTTTAGAGTCTTTTTCCCGAATACTGATAAGATTTATAGAGAAATAGAATAAAATTTGAGGAATTACTGAGGGAGGGTGGCAACCAGCCACCCAAAGGAGACTCACTGCTCTTTTGAAGATTACCGTATTTTTTTATATTAAGGTGAAAGGGTAATTATATAATAATATCTGCTGAAATAAATTGATTCGAAGATTACAGTCGACTGAGTGTAAAATATTATCATTTATTTATTCATTCATTCATATCATATGTTATTAAGAAAATGAGAAATTTTGATTTTCTTTTTCTTCATATAATAGAATATGGGGTTAAATTATTTTGGCGGGGTTAATAATTATGTTGAAAAAAAATAGATTCTTGGAGATTGACATGCTACTTTTTGTATTTTATTTCTTAACATATTAATTGTATATTGTAATAAATAATGTTTTATGCGAATATTTCCTCATGATAGATATTGTGATTTCATACTTATATATTTTCTTAAACTTTCCAATTTTGAGCATTTGCAATTAATTTGTTGATCAACATCAACTGTTACCTCTTAAAGAGTAAGATATTATCTTTAAATGACAATGTTGGTTTCTTAAAGGTTTTAAGTATGTCTGGTTTTTTAATACTGTTTTGTATTTATTTTAGATTAATAAAAAAATAAACGTGTTTTTAATAGTTTAAGGGTGTATATAAAAATTGGTCTATAATAATAAGTATCGAAAATAAAATTGAATTATAAGAGTAATAACAAATAAATAAATTTGTTTGTAAATTATAATTTTATTACGTTTAACAATTTATCTAATAAATATACCAAATTTCAAATAAAATATATTAGATATAATATCAAAATTAGCTCCCAATGTTTACTAAAATGATCATTTTGGTTCATATTCTTTTCTAGCATTTTAGCCCCCAATATTTTATTTTAAGATAAAAAGTTCTTAACGTTTGATCAAATAATCACTTTGATCATTTTTCTTTTTTCTGGGCCAATTTAGCCATTGACATCTTATTCTAGGGTGAAAATACTCATGTTTTGGAGCATTAATCATTTGTTAACTAATAGTTTACATTCACTTAGGGCCTTTTTACTCTAAAATAAAATGTTAGGGGTCAAAATGCTCAAAAAATATAGGTCAATGTGACTATTTAGTCAAACATTAGGGATATCTTCTGCCATTATGTCAAGATATTAAGAAATTTTATAATACACTCAACTACTCACACAAAACAAACATCTCCTCTTTTAAGATGATCATGGTTCAATTTTAGCCATTACCATCTTATTAAAAAATAATAATGATGTGAAAACTAAAAAATTAATTTAAATTTTATCACGTCAGTGTCATCGTTAAATTTTCAATGATAGGTGACCTAAACAGAAAAAAAAACATAACATTACATATGATTTTGAAAATAATAAAAATTTAATGATCAAAACAGAATGAAACGATAGATGAATGACTAAATAGATAATTTATTATTTTTTTAATTATACACGGACTTCTTAATTTTGGACCTTGAGCAGGTGCTCTTTATGTCCAG